TGTAAGTGCACTGCAGCAACACTCTAATAGTGGTTGCACTAGGGATTTGTGCTAGTACTCGGAGTTGTACCAGGGGTCCTACTGGGAGTTGTGCTAGGGAGTTGGACTAGTACGAGGGAGCTGCACAGGGAGTTGCAATAATGGAACTGCACTGGGGAGTTGCACTGGGGAGTTGTACTAGGGAATTGTACTATTACATTATATCACTAGGTTGTACTACGGATTTGTACTATAACTTGTATTACTACTAGGGAGTTGTACCTGGGAGTTGTACTAGGGACTTGTACTAGCGAGTTCTACAAGCACTCGGGAAATGCATCAAAGAGTTGTACTGGTACTATTTGTGCTAGAGAATTGTACCTGGGAGTTGTACTAGGGAGTTGTACCAGGGAGTTGTACTAGTACTGGGGATTTGTACTCGGGAGTTGTACTAGGGCGCGCAGCTCTACCAGTTGTAATATGATACCAGTTGCACTCTAATACCTGCACGGCAGGACAATGTGCTCCCTAGGAACAACTGCGCGCTAGTACATGATAGTACCAGTCGTACTCAAGTACTAGTTGTACGGTAGTCGGAGGGGTTCAAGGGTTCCAATGGTAACTCGCGCGCGAAAGAAGGAAAGAAACCCATAGAAACCCATGCGCCGCCAAGGGTCCCAGGTTTAATGGGTCGCCGCGAAGGTTGACCCCCCGCGGAAAGAAGAAAAGAAATCCGGCCAGGGGGTTGGGGGGTTCAGGCATGAGTCGCGGGGCTGATGGAGGAGGAGAAAGACAAGCGTGGCCGAAGGAGGAGGAGGAGGAGCGTGGCCGAAGGAGGAGGCTTTTCCCGCGGCTACAGGATGGGCGAGACCCTCGCATCCACCTGCACTTTCCCGATTCAGTCCTCAACGGCGCCTCCGAATGTAGGGAGGCGAGGAGGAGGAGGAGGAGGAGGAGGAGGAGGAGAAGACCGAAACCACCACCAACTCTTGCCGAATCTTCCCCTCGAGCGTTGAAGGTCGAGGGGGGAAGTTTTCAGGAGCTGTTGGCCCGTGCCGGGCCTCCGCTCCGAGGCCGCCCCTCCCTCCTCCGCATGCACCTGGCCTCCGACCTCCGCGTGGGCGCGCCGCTCCGCCAGTCGCCTGGCGGCGACGGCGCCGCTTCTCCCTCCGGCGGCACGCAGGACTGGCCCTGAGGCCGGGGAGTGGCCTGCGGTGCGCGGCGTGCCGATCGCTGCACGCGGTGCGACGGCAGCGGCCTGCGCGCTCGGGCTTGGCCACCCCGCGCCGCCCGGTAGCCGCGCACCGGAGGACACGCCGGCGAAGGGGCACTCGGGCTTCGGGTCATCGGCTCGGGTCTCTGGCGGCCGTTCGGGACGATGCGGGCCCCCCCCCGGAACGCTCTCGGCGTGGCGCAGCTGCTGGAACGCATCCCGAAGCAGGATTAACCTCAAGGAACTCACGACAACATCCGGAAGCTCTGGCGGCGAGTCACTGACAAGGGCGACTCTTACGTGTAAACGATCTCCCCTCCCCCCCCACGACCTCTTGTTCTCCGGCGCGGTCGCCGTGGACAGCGCCAGCAGCTCGCGCTGGTTCTGCGAGAGTATTTCGCGCAGCCGCTCGACGTCGCCTCTCCGCCCCCCAGAATCCCCGCCCCCCAGAAGAGGTGGCATGGAGGGAGGGGGGAGTGGGGCGCGCAGGGGCCCGACCTAAGCGCGCAAGCTAATGCTGGGGGTACCCCTGTGGGCCCGCACCGGAGATCACAGACGAAGGAACACTCTTGCGCGTCGCCGACCCCTCAGCCTCGTTGCCTCGCCCCCTTTTTACTCGGCATCCTCCATCCAGAAGGTCGCCGTCGCCAGCGACCTTCTTGGAGAACAGAACTGCACCGATACCGCAACTCTCTGGACCTCTCGCGGCATCGGTACCTTCTCCCCCTCTGACCTATCTCCTTCCTCCCTCTCTGCTTCCCTCCCTCCTGCCTCCGCTTCCTCCATTCCCAGAAGCCGCCGCCGCCGGCGATGGAAGCCACCACGTGCTGAACCACCCCAGGCCTCGAAAACTTCAGAGAAACTTCCCGAAACTGTCGACCCCTCTCCCCTTCTCCTCCCTCCCTCCTCCCCCTCCCCTCCCTTCAAGGCCTGGCATGGGCCTGGGTGGTTTTTGACTGCCGGGCAGGGCGGGATACACATACTGCCCTAGTTGGTGTTTGAGCTGAAGCTCCATCCTTGCGGCCCCCCAAGGGGGGGCCCCAGATGGCGCTGCGGGGCACGACGCTTCTTCCCGATCCGATCCCACTCTCTCTCTATCTGTCTCTCTCTCTCTCTCCCCTCCTTCCTCCACCTCCTCCATCCAAGATGTCGCCGTCGCCAGCGATGGGTGGCGATCAACGGGCGATTGGGGGTCGATGCGTTCCCCCCTAAGCTATCTCCCCCTATCGTTGCCCCTACCTTCCTCCATCCTTCCTCCCTCTCTCTCTCTCTCTCCCCTCCTTCCTCCGCCTCCTCCATCTCAGAGGTCGCCGTCGCCAGCGATGGACGCCGCCACGTGCTGGGCCTCCGCATCGGCCTCCGAGCCGCAGCCGCTGGCGAGCTTGCGCAGCGTCTTGCGGTCCTCGCTGCCGAGGCCCCTGCGGCAGGGCTTGAGGAGGAGGAGGAGGAGAAGGAGGAGGAGGAGGAGGAGGAGGAGGAGGAGGAGGAGGAGGGAGGAGGGAGGAGGGAGGGAGGAGGGAGGAGGGAGGAGAGAGGAGGGAGGAGGGAGGTGGACGAGGAGGGAGGAGGACGAGGAGGCAGGGCAGGAGGAGGAGAGACCAGGCGACCCGCGGACCGGGCGACCCTGGATGAGCTGGCCGGCGAGCACGAGGTGGGCCCAGTATGCAGCACGCTGGCGACGCGGTGGTGCCTTGCTCCCCAGCGGGCGCCGTCGTGGCGGCTTTGGGCCGTTCAGTGCGCTCCGCGTCCGTGCGGTATGCTCGCCGGGAGAAGGCGGCGTTCAACTTCGGGCCAAGACAAGCCGAGTGCATGGCAACCAGTGGGAGCCGGGCGCTCCACGCGTGGAGGGCCCGGGGTTCCATGAGGTGCCTCGCCACCTCGTCGTCGGGGGCAGGGTCGACTCCGAGCTCACGCTCGTGCCCCACTCGCCGCATGTGCCTGCGAAGGGCGGGGCGCCGCTTGAAACATGCTCGCAGGCGTGCGAGGCGGGGGGGGGATCCCCCGCCCTCCGTCGTGGCCGCGCAGGTCCCGCTGCGCGTGGCGCCAGGCTAGCTCCGATACCAGTGGGTGCGGGTGACCTTCGGCTGCAGACGGGGCCCGCGCCGCGGCTGACGTGGGCGCTGTGCCGGGCGCAGTGCGCAGTGCGGATGGGAGCTTCGCATGTTGGAGGAGGCGTTCGTGGCGCGCTCGCGGCTGTGGGTCCTGCCGCAGGGGCACCCCGCAACGCTGATGCGGGATACGCCGCGGAGACCGACCGCGCACGCATGGTGGCAGCTGGTTGCTCAGAGGATGGACGGCCTGCATGGTGGCCGGACGTCTGGCAGGTTGAGGGGCCCGCAGAGGCCGGCGAGGCCGCTGTGACCTCCGCCAGCGAGCGCAACCAGTGCTCAGGCGGTACCAGTGGGAGGTGGTGCGGCTAGCGCTGCGGGCATACAAGTGTCGGAAACAAGTAAGCAACACTCACGCGTAACATATGGATTTGAACTCTCCCCCTCCCCCCGAAAGCAATGTTGGTTTCGGATTTTCCGGGTTGAATGTCCGAACGGTGATGCGTAAGCATGCCCATTTTGCGGATTTTCCTCTCAACCGTACGACCAGGCGGCCTTCGAATCGGCCGCGGACAGGCTCATCCCGCCGCTGGGCGCATCCATCCGCCAGCTCCTGCCAGTGGCGCGCCCGCATTCGCGGGCGCAGCTAGCCAGGAATGTCGCCCCACATGCGGTATGCTGGTTCACTGGCCACTGGCCCCTGCGGGTGGTTGAGGGAGGGACGACATGCCGTGGTAGCCAGATCAATACGCGGCGTACAGGAGCATGCAGGTAGCCGTCTCCCATGCCTTCTGCGCATGTGAAGGCACCCTCACGCTCTTCCGCGAGCTGCAGGTGGCCGCTGGCGCGCCGCTGCGCGGGTCGCAACTGGAGAGTGTGACGGCTCTCTTTGGGCCCAGTCACGGGGCCGGGCACGTGCAGTACGTGGTGCGGGCAGTGCTGGGCTGCATGGGGCGCAAGGCACTCCTTCCAACAGGTGACGGGTGACCTGGGTGCTCAGGAGCTAACTGGAGGACACAGGTGGTGCATCAGCTGCGGGTGCTGGGCGATTTGCGCCGGCCAGGCTGGTGGCGGGCGATGGCGGCTTAAGGTGCTCGGGCTGGGCATCCCTACAGGCAGCGCTGCCGGGCGACTCGCGATGGACATATGGGTGGATAATGATGTGTGTGTGCGTGTGTGTGTGCGTGTGTGTGTGTGTGTGTGCGTGTGTGTGTGTGTGTGTATGTCAGGGTGGTGTCCTGCAATACGGCCACGCAGTGTCACCGAAAAGCGGGAAGCAGTCGATCCCTGCCTCGTAACAATGGATCAATGTATTGAATCACTCGTTTAGGTTCACTCAACAGATCCACTCATCATCTACAAGTGTGCTGATTGACTCGCCTGTTTACGTACTTATTATACTTATTTATGCCCGCGCGATGCGCGAAGGGAACCTGGCCGGGTCCAGCGGGCGAGAGGCCCTGGAACCACTCCCCGCCTGGGCGCCCGAGCGAAACGAAAAACGAGCAACGAAACGAGGAGGAGGATTCTAGGATTCTAGCTTGGCATCGCGCGCGACCACGAAGGGGCACGAGGTCCAGGCAGAGAAGAGGGCGGCCACCGAGGACGACGGCGACGAAGACGCACGACGACGGCGAGGACAACAAACGACACGACAAAGACGATTGAACGAAGCGAAGCGAACGACGACGACGACGACGACGACAACAACGACGACGACGATGACGACGACGGTGGCCCGAGACTGGGAGGAAAAACTC